CCCCCCCCCCGAGGTACTGCACAGGTAACGCTGACCGGTGGCGATCTCGGCCCGGATCGGGGCCGCCGCGTCTCTGTAAAAGCCTTAAAAAGCCGCAGTGTGTGACCAGCCATTCGTCGCCCCGCCCTCAGCTCATTCCCCCCCTCTGGGGGGGGGTCATGTTTGCAGAATCTTTCATGCCGATTGTTTGTTTTTTTTCCTCCATACTTCCGTCCTCTCCCCTTCCTCACGCACGTTTGTTTTATCAAGAATGTCTCCTAACACTCTCAGCACTGCACTGAATTGCACATATCGTCTCTGTTGAATTCTAAACCTTTTTTGTAAGTCCAGACGAGGGAGAAAATCCCAGGATTCCTTTGTAGCATTCCTGTAAATAGCCGCTGAAATCACGGAACCCCCCCCCCCCCCCGGACTAACGCTTGCCTTATCGTTTGTGGGAAAAATGAGCATCACCCGTCGAGATTCCTGTTTTCAAAGTGTAGTCACATTCCAGTTTGCCTGTTCATGTAGTGTGTGGTTCAATTTGTAGTAAAGTATTTATCTGTTATCACTGTAAAAGTGTTGTTTTCTTCCACACGCCCCTTCTGTTCAACTCTGTGTCCTAACAGACTGGACTTTAGGCCGCTGACCGGTCATATATCACACGGCGTTCCGCTTCCCAACCTCAACGGAGATTTATCGGTTAATGAAGTAGCCTGACATTTGGTTTTATGTTGTTGACACTAGTTCTGTTTGTCGGTAGATTATATTTAACGCTTATTCTGTCAGAAATAGGACAGATGTCCATCCAGATGGAGAAACCTCTCGCGGGGAGAGCAGAGGACATTGATCCGCTCCAGTTTATTTTCACTGAGACTGTTTTTTGAAGGCAAACAAGATGGAAAATGACACAATTTAGCAGTTTTCTGACTGCTGTTACTTAATGGGTATATTTTATGGGTCTAGAAACAGTGTGTCTGACTACATGATGGAGTGACACCCGCCGCCTCAAAGAGGAGCACTGACCCGATCCAAAAGGAAGCTCAAGGAAGCTATCTCTCACATGATAAAGACTCATTATGGTTCTGCCATCTTTGTTTTAATCACCAGAATGGACGGTTTCATATTTTATGAGACTCGCTTTTGATGTGCTTCCCCACCGTCGCCCGTCTTTCTGACCCGGTTTCAGATTTCTCTGAAACCGCTCAGTGGATATACTCGCTGTTCCATCAGGATGTGGTTAATGTATATCTGCAAATGACTGTATTTTTTTGAATACTTTAGATGATGATAGATGACTGACAAATGTCTCCCCGTGTCCTCGAGCACAGGGAGAAAAAAAAAGATGATGCTCAATAAAGATATTTGATATGTTTTGTGGACTGTGCCGAGTGTTTTATTTTTTCTGCCAGGGGGAATAACGTCACGGTTCACACACAACGTGCAGGCGTGTTCTTTATTCAGGCAGGAGTGTCCAGAAAACGAACTCAGGTCAAAGTAACGGTCAGTACACAGTACAAAGGGAAAGCAGAAATGTACAGAATGGGCTTCACGTGTGGGGTGAGGCTGCCGGGTTGTGTGTTTTGTGAGAGAGAGCACCACACCTCTAGCCTGGGTTCCACTGGACATGGGCCACACTACGACACAACACGCACACACACACACTGGTTATTTACAGGGCGGTTAAACACACACCACTGGACACGTGTTAGGTCATCGAGACGCAGAACCCGTGGCTGAGCGGGAAAAATGAATGAAAGTGACTCAAATCCCATCAGATTCCCATCTGATCGACTGCTAATGGAGTCAGGGTTCCATCGTGGCTCGGGCGGGATCACCGAGCACCCCCCCCTCTCTCTGGCGGCAGCATCCCCGTCAACCACCCGTACCGTTAAACATCTAGTTCCTCAACAGCTGGACTCACAACCGGTTAAAGCCACTGTCACATAATAAGTTAAGAAGCGTTACAAATCTGCAAACTTCCCAGTTAGAAGCGAATCGGCCATCAAGAGGCGGCTGTCCAACACAATTTATATTATTATTATTATTTTATTCCTGCCGGCTCAGTGTGGCTGGAACGTCTTGGCCAAGTCTTCCAGCAGCGACATCAACTTCTGCTCCTCCAGGGGGGAGCTGTGGGTCCAGGCCAGAGGCAGGTGAGTGGACACCATCTTCCGGTCTGTGTACACAAACACACACACACATTCTAAAGTTAACATGTATGTAAACAAACACCTGGTCTGGCTCTGATGAGGCATTAACTCAGCACAGGGGGGGCACAAAGTGGTGGATCAGAGGTCGGTAATTATGTGTTTTTTTGGAAAGGCAGCTGTTAGATTTAAAATTGAACCACTACCTAACAGATTGTGGACAGAACACACAATATGATCATTTCACCAATGGGTATCATAAGTGTGATGGTAAGGTATTTCCACTTTAATTAGCTCAAACTAATTCAAACATTTATATTGAAAACTGGGCGGCACGGTGGTGTGGTGGTTAGCACTGTCGCCTCCCAGCAAGAGGGTTCTGGGTTCGAATCCCGGGGGAACCAGGACCTTTCTGGGTGGAGTTTGCATGTTCTCCCTGTGTCTGCGTGGGTTCTCTCCGGGTTCTCCGGCTTCCTCCCACAGTCCAAAAACCTGCATGTTAGGCTGATTGGAGATTGGGGAAATTGCCCTTAGGAGTGAATGTGAGTGTGAGTGGTTGTTTGTCCTTGTATGTCCTGTGTGTGGCCCTGCGATGGACTGGCGGACTGTCCAGGGTGTACCCTGCCTCTCGCCCGTTGACCACTGGGATAGGCTCCAGTTCCCCCCGCGACCCCATGAGGGAATAAGCGGTATTGATATTGGATGGATGGATGGATATTGCATTCATTCTTTACCAAATGAGTTTTTGTCCCTACTTAGCACTCTGGTGGATTTGAATGCCGACATTTTCAACAAAATAGTCATTTTGTGGTTTTCTGTTGTGCATTTGAGTCCCACACAGTAGGAAAACTACAAGAAAATGTATATTTTCAAAAATCATTCGGTAATTTACAAGCATTTTGATAGGAACAAAAGTTCATCTCAGTCTCTAACATCTTCCTCAGAACGTTATTAAAGTAAAGTTTTCTCAATAAATAAAAAATAAATAAAAATGAATTAAATAAAATTAGAAATATTTTGTTGAATAAGGCCCACTGAGCTGAGAAAACCTCTGCACGTGTAATGTATCTAACATTAACAGTTTGTCAGAACGTCTTTTATTAACTGAATTACCAAGACCTAAAGACTGGACATAAACTGGTGGTGACGTCTGGTGTCTGTAAAAGTTGTGATGCTCCTCTGAGCATTTCAGGTGACATTAACAGAGAGGGCTCTTTCTCGTTTTGTGGACTCTGTCCTGATCTGGCCGCTCGTGCGTCCTTCTTCTTTAAGGTCAATGGGAACATTGTCCATTACAAAAAAAATCCCATTTGTGTGCCCTCATAGAGGCACTGTACTCTGGCAGTATCTGGCACCAGTCGCAGCCCCACTCCAGCTGCAGTGGACACGGGCCAGATCACACACACACGCACGTACACACACACACACGCACACACAACACGTCCTCCATCCAAATCCCAATTGGAGAGCCAGATTTCTACTCACACTCCTCTCCTCCAATGCTACGCTATATGTTTGTAACTTACACTGTCACGTCTGGGGGAGTTTCTGGTGTCTCGTCATGTCTTGATTACTTATTGTGTACACCTGGGGTTCCCCTCCCTCATGTGTTTAAATAGTCCTCGTTTCCCATGTCCTGTGCCAGTGCCTTTTCGTCTTTCTGTTCTCGTCACCCCCCTCGCCACGTCAGGTTTGATTTTTGTCACAGCCATGCCATAGCCTAGTTTACTTCATTGCCATAGCCTTTGTTAATCTTGTTTGTACTTTGCCATAGCCACGTTTTTTGTCATAGCCATGTTTTTCTTTTCACAGTCATGTTAATCTTGCTTTGTTACTTTGTCCATAGTTTTCTCTCAGCCTTGTTTTGAACTTTGCCTGCCTCCGTTTGAGTGTGTTTTTGTTCAAATAAACCCTTGTTTCCATATCTCCGCGACTGAGTCCTCCCTCCAAGATCCACCCCCCCATGACATAGACGTTATAAAATGATTATTTTGGATGAATCCTCAGCTGAAAGCAGCTGAGCGTGTCTCGTTTCGGTTAGATACCCTGGTAGAAGCGTCCGCTGGGGTTCTTGGCGGAGGCCTCGGAGACGGCCAGCCACACCACCGTGTCGGCCCCCTGCTCCGGAGTCCGTAAGCTCTCCTTCATGGAGCGATGGAAGTCGGGCATGGCGTTGGCCACCGCTGGGTAGACACACACACACACATGGACGAGCAGAATAAAGACACACACGTGTGACACCTCTGGAGCCAGGAGCACAGCGGGAGAGCCGTCCGAAGCCCCTACCTGGAGTGTCCACCCAGCCGGGGTGCATGACCGAGAAGTGAATGTTGGTGTGAGTCTTTGCCATTTGCTCTGTTATCACAACCTGCTGCCTCTGCAACACACAAAACACAAAGCCAGCTCCTCAGTGTGTTCGCACAGCCAGAAAAGAGGCTGGGATAGGGGAAATGTGACCGAAAACGTGTTCATTAAATGCCGACTGTGGCTGATTCTTTCCCTCTTCTTTTGCTTCTGGAAATCTAGTTTTACAGCTTCATTGATCTTTTGTTCTGCTTATTATTAACATAAACATTGTCGTGATTATTATTCTTACTATCCTGAATGTGTTCCCCCGGAGCTAACGTTTTGTATCTCTTAAAAGGAAACAGCATGCTCTGCTTGCCCTTCTCCAGCCTCTCGATTGAAGCCGATCAAAGATGTGCTCATCCTATTTGATCTGTTGGCAGCATTTCTCAAACACGGACTCCCTAAACGGACGCTGGTTAGGAGAAACATCGGCCGTTCTCTGTCCCGGCACAGGGTGTCCCACAAGGCTCTTGCCGGGAGCTCATCCCTTTTGCTATTTGCCCAACTTCCTGAGGTCAGTCATGCGCTCACATGGGGCCCAGTTCAGTCCAGCCGGAGCTGGGGCTTCCACAGGACTGGACGGAACGCCTCTAACTCAGCCTGTCTGAGACTGATCGGCTGCTCTTTTCCAGCTAATGAAACCACGCGGCCCAACATTCCAGTCACATGTCCTCTGAGGCTGCCAGGAACTGGAGCGTTCTAGACTGGCTACCTGGGGCTGCCTGGCTCAGAACAAGTCACTTATCCAGCCCTCAGACAGTAGAACCCCAAAAACATTTCCACCCTTACGAGACCAGCCCTCCAGGTTATTCTCCCCCCGGGTCCCTCGTTGGTGGAATGACCAGCCAAGTGCTAGCAGAGCAGGGGTCCCTTTCTCTTCCTGTATGAGGGTCATAAAAACAAGCAATTTCCTCTCCTCTCCAAGAGTATCTCCTCTTTCTTGTTTCCTGTCCTTGCTCAAACTGCATTTATCCCATGTGGAGTTCTGCTCTCCCCCGGAAGGCTCTTGATTTTAGTATAATACTTGCTCATTGTAAATTGCTGTCTGAAACCAGCTCGATTCTTTTGCTCCTGTTCAATGCAGAGACGTAAATGTAAAGGGAATTATTTTTTAGTATGCAAATAGTATGATAAGAAACTGATCTGATCTGTTCTCTGAGTGGAATCTGCATCTTTTCTCAGTGAGCGTAGTCAGAAATATAACTTCTGAGTCAGCTATAGACCTGAAGAAACCGTGACCAAACTCTGTTGTTGGAAGAACTGATGGAGTGATGTTCTGCTGCTCTGACTGATTTGTAGACCCTTGTCTTTCAATAAAGTTTGAGGGTGCACAGATCTTACTTTGTGCTGGGCGTAGACCATGGTGCCATCAAAACGGCCTCTGTCCGATTGCAGGTTTCCTATCCGGAGTTTCTGCACTAACATCCCCCCTGATGACACCAAGATCTGATCACACAGGAGAGAAGAGAGGTCCAAGAGCAACCATCACGTTAGAAGACGTACAAAAAATAAAAAGACGTGTTTACAGGCTGTCTATGTTAAACGTCAGTCATTTTCCTCATTAAGCGGATTCATCTTTCAGTTTATCAACTGCTAGACAATGTAAAGAACTTTTAAATGTTTCCATGACATATTCCAACAAATCCAGAGTCCGAAGGGGTTCTTTATCAAATGTACTCAGTTAGTCTGTGTGGATATGTGCAGCTACGACTTTCCCAAAACTACAGTAAATACCCCGGGTGTTGTTCCCTGAACATTTACAATGTGTTCCCAAATGCCCGACACTTCCTGGAAAGTCCTGGTATTCCGGCTGTATGAGTCAGAGATCAGACTCACCACTCTGGGATCGGCACTCTTCTCCAGTAAAGGAATGAGACTCTTGGTGAGAATGTAAACCCCTGCAGGTCAAAAGAATTATTATTATTTTTTATAGCACCCCCTATCTTCCCTCTTATCAACATTGACTTCCCGATTCTTGCTTTTTGACTCACCCAGGACATTGATGGCAAAGCTCTTCTCGAGCCCCTCGGCGTTCACGTCCCTCTGACTCATGATGGAGCCCGCATTGTTGATCTGAAGGGATGAAACACACCGTGACACACCCTGCTTTCTGTGTCACACAAACCACGACTAAATCGACGGGTTCCGGGACAAATCCCGTTTCTTACCAGCACGTTAAGGGTCTTGTACTTCCTCTTGAAGGCCTCGGCAAACTCCCAAACCTTCTTGGTCTCAGTCATGTCCAGGATGTGGACGTAGATCTCCTGGAATGACACCAGTCATTTGCAGTCATTAAAAGGTTCAATCTGAGGAATCTGTATGTTGCCTTCGTGTAATTAGAAGGGAATCCCACCTTGTTTCCTGACTCCTTGACGATGTCGGCCCTCGCCTCCTCGGCCTTGTCCTTATTCCTGCACACCATGTGGACCGTTCCTCCTGTGGCAGATCCAAATGAAAGTAAATGAACCAGCTAAATCCAAATGTGTCTGATGAACACAACAACGAATGCAGAAAGCAAAGCGTTGGGTTAGCATTACGTTCCAGAGGAGAACATGCTGTGAAATGTCAGATATCAAACTAATCCTAACCCATGTCGGCTGTTAGGAAAAGCAGTATTTAAAGTCTGTAAGCCTTCTAACCAGGACAGTATGAGCATCTGCTCTGAAAAAGTCCAAAAACCTCTCCAGACTGAACCCAGGAGTCAGCTTCCATCATAGCTGAGAATGTGAAGGGTGCTATAGTATGTCAACTTCTAAGGACGACAGAAAACTCCATCACTATTTCACTTCCTGTGGATTTCAGCTAAAAACAGCATTTCAGTAATGATCACAGCAGTCCTTTAGCTTCCCATGTTCACATCTGAAACATCACATGTTCAACATATTGAGCACAAATTTAACCTGCTACAACAACCAGGGATTGACGATCTTTTCAAATCGATGCTTTAGCAAAAGGGGCCTGGCGGTCTGTTATATACATATCTATTTACATATATTTATGTATAAAAGAAGGAGTCTCCAGAATTTTGAAATTCCCTTCTCTTTGAGGCAGTAATGAAACAAAACACTTTTAACCAGAGTACTCGATAATGGGCTCATCACTGTATTCAGCTGAATTTACCAAACTTACTTTGACTTTTTTTTATATTTGTTATCTCTTTCTTTTGTTTTTTAATGTAAGTTTTCCTTCTTTTATAAGTAAGTAAGGCTGACCAGACAAATTCACCTGCCCATTATTTTGGTCAATACTATCTTACTGTATTTGGATGAGCACCAACCAGCCAAAAGTTGAATACTACTGACTACTTTTATGTTCGGTAAAAATCTGTCCCCTGGTATTGTCATGACGCCTGTGTCCACTCAGCCTGATCACAGCCATACTGGAGGCATGAGGATGACCTGTTGGATGTGGGCTTAAGGCTGATGGTGGTGTGTAAACAAAGCTCTTAGATACTGGACACAGTAACATTTGATATATGTGTAACATGTTGTTAACGTGACATAACCGACGCCGTTACTACTTCCAATCATCACTCTTTGGCATAAGACTAGATTCCCAACAGACAATCCTAGTTGAGTGGGGTTCATACGTCTGCTTTCACTCCTTCGTGTGTGAACTGACCAGAGGCCAGCAGTGAATACGGGGGCGCTACCTTTCTTTGCTATGGCCATGGCGGTGGCCCTGCCGATGCCGCTATTGGCTCCCGTGATCATGAAGGAGCGCCCGGCCACGGACACCTCCAGGTCCTTCTCCACGAAGCGCTTGGATGCCGACAGGAAGCCATTCCTGCAAGAAACCCGGCGTGTGTTTCAGCTTCTGAACACACGCTTTCATCCCCACTGTGTGTGTGTGTGCCACTGTAAAACTCCTCATGGCTTCACTGTACACACACACACGCAGTGAAAAAAGGGGGAATGTGTCCGCCATTGTGTCTGAGGAGAGGTTTGGAGTGAGACGCCCCGCGGGGGGACAACAGCCTCAGTGTGAGCGTGTGTGTGTGTGTGAGTAGTGCCGAGGTCCTCACTTCCCCTCATTGTCCTGAACTCGATGCCATTGTTGGGGGAACAGAGATGAAATGGCCGCTCTGTTCAATGGTGTCATGCAGAGAGCTATTAGAGCGGGGTCAGAGCGGGCCGCCGGGCAGCTCCCGGCCAGGACAGATGACACAGAACAAAGGCCAGATGGGAAACAATCACAAAAACACCTCTTCAGGCTCGTTGGCCTGCTGTGTGCTGGTGGGGAGAGGCTAGTTTAGATCAAATAACACACACAGCTGACGGGGCCTCTTTGTGGTTGAAGAACTACTTTTCTGGTTCTCTGTGGCTCCTGCTGAGTCCCCTTTAAAATCAGCTGGGATTTGGAAATCTATAGCATTTAAGACTCCGCACTGTCCAGGGTGTACCCCGCCTCTCGCCCAGTGACCACTGGGATAGGCTCCAGTTCTCCCCCGCGACCCCATTAGGGAATAAGCGGTAACGGTAATGGATGGATGGACTCTGCTGCTTGTGTTTGGTTCTGTCAACGCCCAACTGAAACCCTCAAATCAGAAAGAGCTTTGGGTGAATTGTGAGAGAAGCAATCAGCAAATACAGAGATCATAACCAGTAACTGAAAGAGAGCCGGTGTCTGCAGTGTTGTCTTTATATTACACATAATACCAAGTTATGTTCTTTATCTAGTAGTTTCCAAACTCTTTTGTTTCTTCCAGGTAAGAGAGCTGAAGAACAGAAGATAATGCATCGGATTCAGAACCCAAAAGCCATCATAAAACATATTTTTTTCTTCCAACCAACCCCCAAAATGTCCTATTCACAATCAGAAAAAAAATTTAAAAAATGCATGAATCCCCACATTTCAGCATGCAATGGTTTAGAATGTATAAAAAGTCTAATACTCTAAACATGTTGTTCAGAATTTACTTACAGCCCACTGTAAGTCATCTGTCACTAAAGAAGAAATCTATCCCTAATCTATGTCTTCCAACCTATAACACACAGCAACAGTCACTTATTCGTTTATAATATGAGCAATTGAGTATCGCACAAAAATAAATATTCGAGTAAAGAATCCAGACAAGTCTAAGTGTGTTTAATTAAATTAAATGTGAAGTAAAGCTGAGCACAGCTGGCCCGGCAGCCTACCTGGTGAACTCGGTCAGGCCCTTCAGGAACCAGGCGGAGTTGCGGTACAGAGACATGGTGCAGCTCTGGAAGCCTCTGGCTGTCACGGGCTCCGTGGCTCCGCTTTTTAGTCTGGATCTGAACCACGTGCGGCTCCTCTGAATGGACCTCATCACCCCCCACCCCACAGCAACTGACAACGGGCTGGGTTTGCTGGCTTTTTCTCCCCCTCTGAGAAGCCGTTTTATCATTTAATGAGCGCAAATTTGGTTTGAAACCCAAATTTAGGGCAGACTGGTAAAGATGGCACAGTTTTGATATTAAAGGCCGGTAGGAGACCTGCAGGCTGAACGGTACAGTGGACCTGGCTGGGCTCCTTCCAGGAGGGGCGCGGCCAGGGCTCACACCTGCAGAGGTGTGCGCACGGCGCCTCCTCCCTGCTGCGCACAGCAGAGCCGTAGGAGCCCGCCGCGTCTACGGAGAGTCTTTATCCGGCTTTCCAGAGGACGACTTAAATATGGTGAGTTTTCTGAGCTGCCACGGAAGGCTTTGTCCCCTTATATACCGGTGAAAACACCTGCCGACAGAGATTGTCGCTGCGTCTGTGCCTGCTGACTAAGGCTGTTCGTTTAGCTTTTTAGTTGTCAGATGCAAATGAGATCATTAAAAAGATCCACGAAAAACAACCATGGGCCATTTCACAAACGATGTTCAACGCGTTAAGGATGCAGGACGGGCTGAACCCCACATAGTTTGTCTGTTTGGCTCATTTTTGGAGACGTTTTGTTCAGAACGTGCAGCAAAGCAATCACATTCATGCAAATAATCCAACATCACCCAAAAGCATTGCATGCTAAACCTTTAAAGAACCCTTTTTTATTTTTTTTTATTTGGCCTTTTAACAAAACGTGAGAAATATAGACAGAAATCATTTTTTGAATGTCATTTATTACTGTGCGATAAATAAAAAAAGATTGTCATGTAGTCTTCAGTTCGGCCTGCTGTTATCAGGTATGAAACCAATGTGTCCGACAGGGTTTTGAGCAAATGTTTTCCCACTAAATGATGCAAAAGGTCTCCGATGCGAAACATTTCCGAAACCATATGATACACGTGGCATTATAGGGTTAAATGTGCGAGTGGGACTTGTTGGCACGGCCGTCCACGCCCCTATCCGGCCGGCCAAAGATCTCCTTAACTGCCCCTTGCACAACACAGACTTTGTGTTTGCTTGAGGGGATTTACACGCACTGTGTTTCCCAGGTGATTTCCAACCACACTTGTGCTTGCGCAAACGAGTTTTCTCTGTGGCAGTGGCAGTTGGGTCCGGAGTATTTGTGTTTTTCATGCCTAATCCTATCCACACTCAGCCGTGGGGCTGCAGCATCTCTGACAACCCTGTTCTTTGTTCTTAGATACTTAGAATTTGGCTATAATGACTCACTTTAGCATTGTATGCTATCACGTGATCTATTTAAATTACTGATTGTTTTATTGTCTTTAATAATTATATTTTTTGTTGAAGTCTCTGGCTGTGACCACAGACTCTCTCCTCTCTCTTTTCCTTTCTCTTGTTTTCTTTTCAAGTTGCCTTAGATCCACGTCTTTAGGTCAACACACAGACACACACCATTTGTTACCACATTCCAATGTTATCCGCATGAATTAGGACCTGGCCTGTTCATGACCAGAGGTAACCAGCCAATAGGACTTGGTTGTGTCCAGACCTAATAAATGTCATTTTTATACTTTATACTTTTGATCCAGGTTTCCAACAAAATAATCGGGCTAACAAAGGCATTGCCTTTCTTTCTTTCTTTCTTTCTTTCTTTCTTTCTTTCTTTCTTTCTT